TGAGCAACGCAAGTTCGCCGAAGCTGATGGAGGCATCAATGTGCGTCGAGAAGATGTCTCAAAATTATACCGACACCGGTATAAAGCAAACTTCATCCTAAACAGCGGCTGATAAGTGAAAAAAAAGAGATGGCAAGGAATGGCGATGTGTACCCTTGCGCCGACATAGAAGACGGTGAGCTTCTTCCTCAGGTCAGTGGCACTTTGCAACAGGCCGAGCTCTTTCAAGCATGCGTACACTGCCAACGGCCAATGCAGCAATATAGCTGCGGGTGAGGCCATCGGCAATCCACGCCACTGGTAGTAACTCGTCCAGTTGGTTTCGAATGTCGGGGGAAAAGCCGGGCAGGTGTCCGAGTCGTGCAGCACCAGCGACGGGATTAACTCTTTCGGCAATCTCCAACCTTCGTCTTCCGTCAGTGGGCTCCACGGCGCGTCGAGAACTTCGTCCGCCACATCTCTTCTTTCGTGATACGCCCAATAACCGACCCTTTGACGACTCGTGCCAAGAACACCGAACTGCAGCAAAACGAATTGTTCGTTGAAACGGCCCTCGATGTTATACCCGACGTCCGTCCACGGAAACTGCTCGAGGACCGCTTTATATTTCGGGATACGCTCTGCGTCTCGCTGTCGTTCAGTGCAATTATAATCTCGAATGTCGTTTGTTAACGCTGTTCTCACTGACCCTGAGCGCGGGGCAATGGATCTTATGCCTTTTCCACCCGATTTTCGCGCATTGCGGTGAGCAGTAGACAGCCATTTTGCACGCCGAGCAAACCTTGAACTACCACGTTCTTTAGTACCGGACCAAGTACAAGAAAACCTCTTACATTCTCCATGAGCTGCCTGCACATAATGCACTGAGCTCGTCCAGGGAAAGAGAGGCTCAGACGAGATGACGGGTCGCGCTTGACGCGCTCCCATTCTTGTCTCATCATTTGCATTTGCATTTCTATCTGCGCCGTCGTCGCCTCAGGCCCCTCCATTGTGGTGAAAGCAAAAGAGGATTCTTCGTTCGTTCTTACGTACGCGTTTCGCAAGAACAAAAGAAGCTATTTATGGACGTCTCGTGATCGTCAGCCAGCATCTTCATTTCTTCGCATTCACCATGTCCTCTTCCTATTCGTCTGGCTTGGGCCTGATTTCTACTACGTCCGCCGGATCCCTGGATCTCACTCTTTGCGCCCACGATGATTCACTACTGTCTGAATCCCTCACGCTCTCTTCTCTGTCCTCGTCCACATCCTCTACCCCACCCATTCCCGCAGGCTGCATGGTCCCGCTGGCCACCATTATCGGACATCACGACGGTCCTACTATGTCTCCTCGTGGTTCCCCGCGTATGGTCTCCAAAGCGACTCTCACGTCTCCCACTCCTCCACGACTTCGGACAATGCTAAGAGAGAAGTTGCTTGTTGAGACGTGGCTGGTGAAGTTCCATCTGTTTCTTATATGGTTCCTGTGTCGCTAACAACTCGACAGAGCGGCGTCGCTTCCGATTCGTCCGAGCATAAGCCGTGGGGCGGCATCGACAATGCTGAACCGATATCTTGGAAGTCCGAAGGTTCAATGTGCAGTCCCCAGGTATTCAAAACGAAACTGGCCCTCGCCAGACGCCATCACAGGCCCGACTCAAAGGAAACCCCAGCCATATCTGTCAGCCCTCCGGATACGTCCCACAGATCCGCCAATCGAAATGCCTTGGTTTTCGAACGCCAAATCATCTTAAATTCTGGCGGCCAATCCACTCGCCTGTCTCTCCAGGCCTCGTCGAAATCGATGGATCCAGGGGTGGCAGAGATGATTTCTGAACTCCAGAACCTCAACTCGTTTTTCCAGGAGCAAGAAGCGAATGCTCGCCCACCCGCACCTCCACCACCCTCCCTTGTCATTTCAAATTCTCATTTCTCACTGCCGGTCTCGCTGGAATCGTCTGGAAATCTGACTCCCGGTGTTCCTCTTGCATTGGCGGCTCGTAGAGGCAAGAAAATGCTGCCGCCGTTGTCGGTCAAGCAGTCTTCCGACGAGAGCGAATACCCCAGTATGCCCACTGCATTCCTTGGTTCTCCCTCAACCTATTCCCCCAAGTTTGAATTTGCGTCTCACCCTAATCGCCGTTCGATGGATCTTCAACAAATGGTTACGAGTCTGAGATCGCAGTGCGCCTCGATTGACTCGGCCACTCCGCCCGACGAGATTCAGGAAACTGAGGCAGGCGGAGAAGAAGACGAGTGGGCATTTGCAAACGGCTTCTTGGATGTGCATAGTTCCCGGCCATTTGATTCAGATTTCGTCAAGAAACCTCTTCTACCCCACATGGTCGACTATGCCGAAGAGTCGCTCACGGACAGTCCTTCATCTTCGTACAGAGGTCCCGTTTCGACCATAAATGCACCTCCTTCAACGCCTCTCCCACCCCGCCCAGCTCAACGGACGAGCGTACGAAGCATCCTGAAGAGTTCCAAGAGTGTTCGGTTTGCTTCTTTGCCAAACGAACGTCCAGAATCTGTCGAGGTCTCAACTGTCGTAATACCGCGTCGATCGCTTGGGCCATCGAGTCCTCCCATTAAACGGTCACTCCCTCCACGACCAAGATCCCACACAGTGCGTCCTACAATTCCTGCGCCTCTTGCGTCTCCTCCTCCCAAACCTACTCCCACACTCGGCCGAGTTCTCGATCAACGGAGAGCAACCGCTCCCGGCACATCCTATCACTTGGCTTCGCCGGCTTCGTCTCCCGCAAGGCCCTCTGCTACTCCCACTCCCACGAGAACCCCACCCAAAAAGGCTGCCGTCAGCGGACGTCGCTCTCTCAGCCGTGTGTTTTCGGCTGCCACTGCTGTGAAGGAAAACAAGCCCAGCTCGCCGAACCCGCCTACTACGACTCCAAGTCGTGCGCGGTGGACACTCAACGAGAATGTGCTCAGACGTGCATCCGTTTGTGCGACTCCGACGGAGGCCCAGACCCAGACCCACAAAACTCGCATGCCTGTTCCTCTTCGTAATATTTTGACGAGGTTTAAGTAGTCCATATATACTTTTTGGCTGCCATAATACCATGAGATGCGTGTCTACAGCCTCTTATAGCATCCGCTTTTCTTCTATGCAACGTAATGATACTTCTGCGGACGAAGATCATAGTTTCGTTATCTTGAGGAAGCAGCCTGAGATCGGATCGACCATCTAAATATCCTTTCGTCGGTGTTGATCTTGCCCGGAGTTCAAGGTGAATGTATAGGTGTCATGGAATGCTACTAAGATCGTCCTCCAGTATTCATCTCGGTATCTTGCAGGCTCGGTAGACTATGACACAGAGCCAGGAAGAAAAAAGGATGAGAAGATCTAGAATGTGGATTGATCGGACCGGTCAAAGCGAGACTTTGCAGCCTAATTTAGAAATTTTCTACTCCAATTCCGTCACCATCAAAAAACTCAAAATGCTTGATCCCGGCTCTCCCTGCCCTATCACCACTACTTGTAAATAACCAGGAAACCATAACAAAACCAGTGTGCACGGGCAGCAGTGATGATTGTCATTCAATTTCTTTGTGATTGCCAACAAGTCCCAGCTTTGATTTGATTTCGGACCTTTTCCGTGAATGTGTTTTCCAATCTTTCTACGGATCCCTCGTATTGTACACACTACTACAGGCTCCTGGGAAGCTCTGCTAATGATAGGAGGAGGAGGATGTATATGTCACAGCATGCTGTTTCAGGCTGGATTTGAGCAGGTATACATTAGTACGGCATAGATTGTAGACTTATACTTTGTTCTGTTGTCTAGGCTCTACTGTGAGATTGCTGCCTCTGTTGCTTGGGATGCAATGCAGTAGAAATGGTTGAACATGCCTTGTTCTTCTGTTGAGGAACTGCAACAATTGTTGACATTTGATAGGTGTTCCTGGTGTTAGTGTAACCCCTTGCCAATGGAGTGTCTTTTCTGAGTTTTTACCATCTCGGTCAACCTTGTTCAGACCCACCAAATATGTTTGACATTTAGGGTATGAAGCTGGGATCTGCGAAACAAGAATTCCACAAGGTAAACCAAGGAAGATAAAATGGACAGCCTCGTGAAGGGATTTTAGTGAAAGAAATTTTGTTGATGCAAAAACATGTTGTAACAGGTTGTAACGTCCGCTCTCAGAAATTTCTTGGACTGAAATCACTGGACGGTTTTTGCTGGAGATGGATCATTTTCAGTGGACGGAATTAGCTGCAGGAAAAAATGAATTTTGCTGCAGGGATATCTGTGCACAAACTCGGCTGGAGCGAAATTTCTGGACCACAATCCGCCATCAAATCCGCCATCAGTCCGCCAGTCCGCCATCATCCCCATTGCTCCGGCTTCTTGAAAGTTTGGGAGCTCAGATTAACGGAATACCGGGTGGCTGTGCTCACCGGCGGCAACGCGGCACATTGTTTGAGCTCTCCTCCCTCGTATTCTCCTGCGCGACATGTTTTCCACAAGGATGTTTTATTTGAGTTGACTCTGGTTATGTACCTCACTAGCCTCATCACCCTCGGATCATAAACAGTCCCCAATGCACATTTCTCACATAGGGGCTAATATGCGTATGCATGTCAAGAGATGGAACAGCTAAAACTGGTTAATAAATAATCAGACGACCTGCCGTTGTTGCCTGGATGTAGCTACATATAATAGCCACTCATGTCTCCCTGCCATCATCTCAGATGAACATAGGATGACTCCAAAAAAATCAAATTTAATTGGAGCATTATACTATTATTCTAGGCCAGTAATTGGCCAAGATTCAGCCCAAATATCCGCAAGGGAGCACTTTCGGTGGTATGGACATATGCTTGTCCTTGTCGTGCCGCAGATCGGCATCTCCTAAATTATGATCTCGATCACACCGCCGGTGTATACCGGTGTCCCGTTAATCTGAACTCCCAAATGCACTCCTTGATTCTTGGTCTCAGATCACTGGCCGCATTCAGCCCAAGGACTTATGACCTTGTGTTTAAGCCCCTTCATTGGCCTGATGGTCTAGTAGTATGATTCCTTGTTAGGGTAACGTGGTGGGTAACGTGATGTTTCCCACCGTCACGTGACTTTCGAGGAGGTCCCGGGTTCAATTCCCGGTTAGGCCCATCTTTTTGCAGCTGGCAATTGACCCATGGACCTTAAGGAAGAGGTCCCGGTTAGGTCCTTTTTACTCTTTTTCATAAGATGAACCCACTAGGCACAACTTCATGTGATGGACGATAGCAGGTGCACGAGGGCACACCACAGTTCTATATTCAATAGAGAATGCTCAGATTAAAGCAACCGGTAAGAAGGAAGACAAGGAGGCGAGAGCAAAGCCATGGGCTAGTGTATTAAAAAGTAGAAAGACTCACCATACAAGGGAAGAGGAAGTAACAAATTGAATAGTGAAGTATGAGAAGTCTGTGCTCAACAGGGCGTGAGATACTGTTTATGCCTGGCACAGAGTATTGTTATAAGCTATCTGAACAAGTCAAGCACATGTGCAAGGATACAGCTTGTGTTCATGAATAGCAGGTGCATGATGGCACTGCAATAACAGCAGGGAGCGAGCAGCCCTGAATAAATACAATCTGATGTATGAGGAAATAGTTTGGGGGTGGTAGGTGCGCAGGAACACAAAAAGAGCCAGGTGCAAGGACACAACTTGATATTATAGAGAATAAATGGCATAAGGCCATTGCTCTTGTAAACTTGGAAATCGCAGTTCGGAAATGGAATCCGGAACAGATCGGGTGCTTACCCAATCTGGAGATGGTCCGTGCGCTCCGTGTAGTCACTACGAAAAACGAGCGGCGTCTGCGCGACTAGTGCGGAGACATCTGGGAGTTAGACCCGGGTAAGACATGATTGGGCCAGCTCCAGTTGCAGTCTGAAGCAGGGAAAGTTGAACAAATGCGCCATGGTGGTTGTATGACGATACATACGTGTGCAGGTTCATCGCGAGGCGTGAGGGTTGATTTGATCTATTTATTTATTGTGTTTACACTTGTATATCGAGCCGATGAAGTATTGGCGTTAAATTGAGGTTGCAATGTGAGCGGAAGTACTAGTTGATGCATTTGCCATCAATATGTGGCTGTGTAACTGTAGGTGCAGACGAAAGGGGGAAACGGACTTCAGCGATGGTCCAAAAAGAATGCGGGCTAAAAATCGTCTCAAGTCTAAAGGGGAAGCGGAGCGGACTTGAAGAATTTCATTTCTGCACTAAGTTGAAAGGAGCACTGCTAAAATTGCAACCAAAGAACGGACCTGATGGAGGGGACTCTCAACCTTTCCCTGGGAATTGAATCACCGAAGAACTGACGCTATATATAGAATCCAGAGTACTCAGGTATTAGGAAACTGCCGGAGAGCCCTCAGTTTGATCGGGCACGAAATAAACCAGAACCTGATATTTGAATTTTAGGTTGTCCTGGGTCAACTTTCTGCCACGGTCATTGGCACTTTTTTTGCAATTGAAGCCGCACTGTAGCTTCTTCCATCAATATGTGGCTGTGTCGCCATCATAGTTCAAACTTAGAGTTCAGAACTTACTTCATCTTCCCGAACTAATGAAGTCTTGAGGTCGGCTTAATGGAAAATGATTTCAAGTCAGAAAGCTCTTTGCCCGTGCCGAGCCTCCATATTTCTGCGCTCATTCGTTTGGCCGAGCAGTTCACCGCCATCCGAAGACCGGAGTCTGGAGCCAGCCTGCCAGTGAGGACACCAAACACGACGAAACTAGAGCCTCCTCGGTCATTTTGGAAAGTCGAGATCACTGCCCAAATAATAACGCCGTCCCTTGCCCGAGACCGTCGAGACCTAGGCCGGGACTTCGTTGGGCGTCCTAGAATTGGAGCCGAGCTCCAGTATCGCTCGAACAATTGAGTTACTTGGTCAGATCCCGACAGTCGACCTCGGTCAAAGGCCGACGTTGCTTTCTCATCTGGCTGCCTGAGCTAGTGAACGGAAAGCGAGACTCGCTGTTCTTTCGGCTCTAGCCCAACAGGGTTAGTCCTTTGTTGTACACAATCAGCGATTTCTCCCTCCGCCAAAGCATTGCGACCACATGTGTGGTTGCCCACTGTATGTACATCTAAGGTTCAGTAAAGATGGTGTACATACACATTGCACGGATCCAATCCACAGTGGCTGAAATGCAGAAATCTCGAATCTCCGAGCCTGTCGCAAGTTGAACAACATTTACGCGAAGCGGGTGGAGGCGAGCGAGTGGGATCTGGATCGCCGGAGATTCGCAAGACAGAATCTATTGCCATGAAACAGTGTACAACTGCTTAAAGGAAGTATCATCAGGTCCCTTGAACGTCCGTCTGCCGATGTCACTTTACTTACGTCCATGATTCCCGTATACAAATACACACACAAGAGATCAACAAGTTACTTACATTCCCCGCCCCCTGGTGGCGCCTCTGCCAGCGAATCCGATCCGAAAAGGACCTCCTACGGGAAGCCCCAGCGGGTGAGGGTGCTGAATAGGGAGACCGTGCCCACCACGATGAAGTCTGGCTCTGGGTACCCGTGGCGTTTCCTCCATCAGCTCCTCTTCAGATTCCTCATCTTCACCATCCGGCTGCATATATAAATTTAGTTTGCGCCCCCAGAACACGCAGTCAGCCGTAACTCACCTGCAGATCGATGACCAAAGCACCTGTTTTCCAATTTATTTTAAAACATTAAAGGCGCATTATCGATTCTCACCTGTCTGCCAACCCGCGGCGCAGGCCGAGAAACAGAATCGTTCCTTGGGCGTCTTTCGGGCATGATCAAAGCGGACCTCTGTAGGAACGTCCGTGTTCGGCGGCGTTCCAAAACCGCGTTCAAGGGCGTCGAGGCGCTGCCGTTCAGTGGCGAACGCCCCTGGCGTCCCGGGCGTAAGAGTGGTGGGGTCGCCCAGCCCTAATGCTCCGGCCGAGTAGCCACCCCATGTCAACAGCTTGCCAGAGGATGTCAATGCGGCATTGTGCCAGTCACCCACAAGCACTGATATGACAGATTTATCTTGAAGTGCGGGTTCGATATGGGGATTTGTTTCTTCCGTTGTGTCCGTATCGCCCATAAGCACTACGGAGCTCGAGCCGGTAGAGTATGCAAAGAACTTGAAAAAGTGCGCGGAAATCTGCACCCGTGATATTCGCGCTGTAACATCAAATCAATGGATCGACTCACATGAGTGATCTTCATCGTCTGGGGAGGATCAATGCCCGGAGTCCCATCGGTTGGCGTGAAGGGAGGCATGGACTGCACCCGGTCGAGCTCACTAAAGTTGGGAAGCTGAATGAATGTAGTCAGCAGACAGTATCAAACACGCCAAAGTACTTGCGTATTGCCACCTGCCAGTGGAAATTGTATTCTCAGTTTCGAGGCTCGAAAACAATACGACATGACCCTGGTTCGTTAGAGCGACGAGCCGCGCGTCCAGGGCAGCAATCTTGATAATCTTGATTTCTTCCTCGACTTCACCGCCGGTCGTCGACAATTTGGGTAAAAAAGGGAGCGGAGGCAATCTGAGGGGATCGGCTTCAAGTTCCCAGGTAGCGCAAGGAATCACCCCGTCGGGGAGGGCCTTGGCGGAAAACTGACGCGCGTCGTCCATCGACGTGTTCTTGGCGTCAATTTGTTCCTTCATACTACCAGACCGCGGCCACCAGGCAAACACTTCACCGGACTTGGTGAGGAGGGATGAGAAATCCCACCCGCACTCGACCTGGATTGGTCTCGAGTCGCGAAGGAGATGCCGAGAGGAAAGAGTGAATGGACGGCCCCAGCTTGTAAACGTCCAGGCTTGACCCTTGGAATCCAGGGCGGAGGCATGGAGTCTCCCGCAGCTAAGTCAGTATTGGTCACTGAGGCATTCATTGAAGGAAAAAAACGTCTTGCCTAATGTCCTTGATGCGAGAGGGCATCTCCAGGCGCAAAGGCTGCGGCGCTGGTTTTCCTGCCTCCGAAAAGCCATCGCTGGTCAACACTCCGGTTGTTCCGTTCAAAGTGCCTGCAAAGAAGTTGTTTAAAAAAGAAGTAGATATTCTCTCTCGGTATTCTCACCCCAGACCCAGATGTTACCCTCGGTATCCAGGGCATGGAATGACCTGCAAAAATAGTTATGACATGAGCAGGAACCGCGAGCACCAATAAGAACATCATACATTCCCCCAGAAACGATACTTACGATCCGGGCCGCTGGAATACTCAGTTGGGTGGGAAACGGTACTCCATTCTCCCTTTGGAGGTTGGATTTAGGAAACTTGGTCCCGAGACCGAGTCTCCCGTGAGTTTTTTCCCTGAAACCGTGTGAGAAGAATTCAAAACAAGGTTAAGCCGACCTACCCCCAGACAAAGACTATCAAATGAATATGAGAAAAATCGAAGCGTCGTAAACCTATGCTTACCTTTGGGGTTAAACAGCCCTCTATAAATAAATTTCCATCCGCTGACGCGGGCGGTGCCAGCTCCTGAGAAATTGAAGTCGGTCTCCAGTCTGCGCTGCCATAGCAACTCGTCGGCACAGATATCAGCGAAGAGCTGCGGTAAAACAGGCGCGCACGCCAATTCAGCAGAACTTCGTTTAATTTCCGAACCACCTTGTTGGTACAGCCGAGTCGGACAACGCTCTGGATAGGCATCTGCATCAAAAGGTCATCGAGGATAACCTCGACGGGAATAGTTTCGAGAGAGGACATGGTGGTTCAGTTCAAGGAGCAAAGTGCCGCAGCACCGTGCACAGTTTGAGACGAATCGGTGATGTCATTGTCACAATCGCGTGACGTCGTGACCAGCCGTGATCTGCCGAAACCAACTTGAAACTACACTTCAACCATTTTGGGCCTTTTCAAGTTTCTTCTTTTCTGTCAACGTCGCTGGTTTACTCAATTTTCAGTCTCTCGCTCGCACACTGTCCGATCGCCCCACTTTGTCACGGACACGGTCGGTATAAAATTCCGATATCAAACGGAAAGGTGTATCCCATATGCGGCCGTCGCTCGCCGTCCTCGGGTTGCAGCGTCTGTGGCACAGGTCCATCACGTCTGGTCATTCGCTCGGCCAGAACGTCCCATGTTCATCTCAAACCAACCTCGGAGATCTCGTTCTCGCAATCTCAGACACG